TTCTTGAAGGTCGGCAATTTATAGCTCATTGGAACAAAATTAAGGAAAGCATCAATAACTAAATTTAAGTAGCAAATTTGTATAACAGGAGTCTGAAAAAAACTCAGACCTACAGCCTTAAAACAAGAACCCTGAGCAATTTATCAGCAACTTACAATATACTATGGCAGGTCCTCAGGTCATGTCATTTTGCTATCACACTGATGAGATGCCATAGGAACTTAACTCTTATTCATATCAATTAGCCTTTGGTAAAAGTGGTTTTTCTTATATGTCGTTTTGCCGCAGTTCCAAGAACCTATTGGTGGCATTAAGTGAGGACTTACTATACTCATCTCATAATTCCAAATGTAAAGAGCTACGTCAGAATCTTTAAAGAGATGAAAGTTTAGGTAATTATTACATTTCCATTTTATCCAAATTTGTTATGAACACACACACACACAAACACACAATTTCATTTTCCCCATGGCACTGACATTTCTGAAAAATCTACGCCTTGGATGTTCACAAGAACACTGAGTAGCTCAGGTCCTGATATATGAGCTGAATTATTCATACTGGCCCACGAGGTCATTTGGTCCGTGGGATAGCAGTCACCTCTCTAGCCCCTGAGATTGTGGCCCAGCCATTGCAGTGCTGTGAGTATTTTGAGTCCCACCTCTCGGGTGGCCCCCGTAAACGAACCATTCATGTGTCAGCCTCTCTGTGCCCAGATCCTGAGCCACGTCCCGGGCAGGAATCCTGCCTCCATCCTTAGGATCGCCCCATCTCTCTCCTGACACCCTAATTCTGAGATGAGGTCAGTGCTGGAGTTAGCATATCTGTTGCACACATGGCTAGGGATGTGACATTTTGAAAGCTAAAAATTCAGTTGGCAGCTTGCCTCCATTCACGTGGCTTGAAAGTGGCCACATCTCAATGGATGTGCACGTTCTGTTTTGGACAATTCTGCACGTTTAACAGCTCCCTTTGATTAAAAATGGCCCAGGTGTATAATGAGTTGGGTGCAATCACATTCTAAACTGAGATTAGCATTTTCTGAGGAACTCGAAGGACATTATCAGAGTAAGGAATCCTGAAATCGCGAACAGGAAATGTCCAATGAGCTTTCCCAGGAATGTGACTGACAATTGCTAAGTGTTTTTGACTCACAAGACTGTTTCTAGAGAGAGCACCTTCAGCCTGAAAGCTTACTGGGAAGAACTGATTTGCTTACACAAACTGATTAAGGAATACCAAAGGTTTGGCCATCCATAAAGTGGTAGGACCTATAGGAAAAGTAGGTTTTCACTGTGTACTTAGGTAGAAGACAATTCCCAAAGAAACGTCTCTGGCCATAAACCAAATGATGAGCTTTAAGACGGTTCCTGACTCCCCCCATCCCATTCCAATGAAGTGTATAAAGGATGTCCTACCTAGAACCTCTGATGATAATTTTCACGAGAACCCCTGACTCTCAGACAAGACCCTATCTATGTTCAGAACTTGGCTTTGGAAGGGACTCTGGTCCTGTCTTGAGCACCTGTGTGTGAAGAAAAAATTCCTGCAATGCCTGAGGAGGGCATGGATCTCAGTTAGGGCCAGTCTCAGGCTGCAATGACTTTCTCTGAAAAGACTCATAGGAGAGGCCAGCTCAGCTGCAAACTGTGATATATCCCAATGTTGAGAATCGGACCTCCCAACTATCTGAAAGTACCAGCTAAAGTAAAGAAGAAAATGTGCATGCTTATTATTGTATAGAAATGTAATACATACTTCAGTTACACACTGAAACACGCATTTCCCATTTCCTTCCATTTCATCCATTTGTTTTCCTGATTATCTGACCAATTGCTTTACGGTGCTCATGTGAATGAACACTCTCAACCTTTTTGAGGTCCATTTATGATTGGAATCATATTTGAAAACTTATGCCAATTTTTAACCTGATCCCAACTTGTTCGCACTGGCGTTGTAAATCTTGAAAAGCCATAATCTATCAAGAACAGCTCACTACAGTATAACTCCAGATAGACAAATAAGACATGCTACACATTTTCTCAGTACTGCTTACAAATGAGTCACCGTGAAGAAACCCGCCTGTGAATTTCAATGTCGGCAGCATTATTCCACTTAAGGTGAACACATGGTCAAATATTAGCGGCCATTACTAATGGAGGGGAGGGGGGTCACAGGCAATCTCAAACCAAGGTCACCTCCAAAGCCATTCATGCTTCGCAGCGGTGCACTGGAGGGTAAATGAAAGCTTAAGGTTACCCTTCCTGATTCTAATTTGCTTGACTTCTTGCATTGAGATTGGTCTTCCCTTGAGCATACACATATGTCCTGAAGGTACGAGATACCAGAGAGATTGCTGGTCAAACAGCAGGCATAATTGTTACATGTAACTGAGAAAGCAAATGATCAGAAAAGGGACCCCTGAGCATTCGGTGCATATAATACTAGTGACATAACTGCGAGGAATAAAAACAATCGCTTGCAGGAGAATTATCCACCTTAGCGTCACTGACATGTTGATGCAAGGGCTCCTTCCTGGCTCTAAACTATCCCCTGGTGGCAGTGATGAAAGAAAAAGCTTTGTCTCTCATTTGAAAGAGCCACACAGACAGACAATAGAATTTAGTGAGGGTAGGGAGCTCTGAAAGGTGGAGAATTTATTGGTCTCTGCCTTTAAAACAGAGGTCAATGGCACAGGCACCCAGGAAGCAACTCTTATTCCTAGTTTCCCAAAGGCCCCCTAGAGACCAATGTCCATCCCTGACGACATTTCACCAGTGCCCATCAAGAGGAGAACAAGGAGAACAAGGCTCATTAAATGAGTTATTCATTCAATTACATGCATTCAATGTCAAGGACACATTTTTTGTTCTGAGATTACAATATTCTTGTGGGGAAAAAATGTACCTTTCTTTTATGAAATGGGAGTCATGCAAAAGTGCTGTAGCTGTGACCATTTATATAAATAAGTCCCAAAAATGATTTTGTAAACTCTCCCTCCCTGTGAAACTCGAAGGTCCAAGGGCAACGGAAGGCATGAGAGGCTGCTGGAGTGGACAATCAGCTCAGTTTAGTTCAAAGAAGCGCAAGTGTAGGAGAATACAAATTACACAGAGAGATGGAAATGCCTAACTATGAACGTGCCCAGATCTTTAGCCGATGTATGTCTGGCTGTTAGATCCCAGGTCAAACCACTTGCTGGGAGGGCATCTTGGCATCTCAAAGCCAGAATGTATGCCCAGACAAAGGCAGCATCTTTCCCACCTCCTCTCAACACAGAGAACTAAATTTTGTCATTTTTTTCTGCACCTTTTATAAAGGATTTCCACCCAAGAAGCCAATGGGAGATGCACCGAGTGGTGGAGAGTCCATCTCCTTTGCCTTCTGAGGGGCTGTTCTAATGCAGCTAATCCCAGGGGCCGAGCCCTCTGGCCCTGGGTGGATCCTGCTGTTCAATTTTCTGGAACATTGGTCCGTGTTCCATTTCTCCATTTAACTGTCTTTTTCCCTGTGGTAGCCTCCCTGGTACTCAGAGCTGAAACTCACTGCTCCAGAGCCCGAGGGGCATGTACTTCCCTTTCTCGTGTTGGCACATGCCACTCTATCTGGGGCTGGAGAAGAAGGTTTCGGTGAATTCTACCAGTGATGAAGCCATGCTATGGAGTTCCTTAGAGACCTGGAAATTAGGTGACACTGTCTGTCTCCAGGAAGGTTAAAATGAAGAGTCCGACAGCCCACAGGGAGGATCCTATGGATGGGGCTGGAAGGTCCCTGAGGTCACAGTCCCCCACTCTGGCTCAAGTCAGAGGATGCGACCCCTGTCTCTCAGATATAGGAAGGGTCTGGGCACAAGGGCCTCCAAGGTGCTGTCAGCTCGCCCAGGCTGCCAGTCAATGAGCCCGTCATCGGATCTCAGTCTAGCCTGTGGTCTCGCGCATGGCCACGCCGAGAGGCTGCCAGAGAAAAGCAGGAGTGGTGAGTATAGCCCGAGGCTGGGAGTTTTCACTGCCCCACTCTGCAGAGGCACCACATCTTCTGCCTCTTGGGGACAGAGACGTACACCCCTGTTCATCTAGCCTTCAGCTCCAGTTCCCCCCTTTTTGTCAAAGAACTGTCTTATGTTGGAGCTGTAAGCGAGCATTGCATTTGGCTACCTCCAGCCAGTTGGTCTTGTCACCTGCACTGAATTACCTATCAGCAGGGGCCTCCCTGCCAAACCTGGTGTGTCTTCATAAGCTAATGCTATTTCTGCATCCACATAGCCATACCCAGGGGCCAACGGGGTGGTCGTGCCTTTCACGCCTCCTGTTGTTCAACCCTGTGAACTAGAGAGGCTGCAAATGCTTGCATTTTTTTTTTTTTGGCCTAAAGGAAATTAAACACATATATCTATATGGGAATATAGATATATAATGGTTTATGGGGGAAAACATTTGTGCAGCATAAAAATCTAACTATCATTATCAAGTTCAAGGTGCAGATCTTGACACATTTGGCTGTCTGTCCATGAGGATCGCTTAAAAAAAATGCAAGCCATGGGTCCCCACGTCTCTCCACCCCCATTAAAGCAAAGACCACACGAAAATGTGGAATCTACTTGGTTGGAGATGATCATTTCCGTGGGCTTTTCAGGTTTATTTTACTTTCTGTTATTGGTACTGGTTCTCTTTCTCTCATACCAGAGATGTGCCTGGTTAGAGAAATGGTCTTGATTAACATTTCCAAGCCGACAGCTCTCCCAAGTACCTGAACCGAAGGAATTCAGTGCACCTACTCAGAGGAGAGGGGCACGTCCCTCTTGATGTACTAACTGGCCAGGTTGTGTTTCTCTAAACCAAATAAACCAAATGCTAACTTACCAACTTCTGTAGGTTTCACTGAATACAGCTGCATGGAATGCTATTACTGTTTGCAATGCAACCTGATTTAAAACATTGCATTTCTCTTTAATCCAAAGGGGACTAGCAGGTTTATTGTGTTTGCATGTGCTTTCCCCCTAGACTCTGGCTGCCCTAACAAGAAATTCAATAAATCTACTTCCAAACCATCTTGCACAAGCTTTGCATGTCCAGTCGGGGCCTGAGGAAATTAACAAGCGAATAGAACATACCATCGACTTGCGGAGTGGCGATAAATTGAGAAGAGAGCATATCAAGCCATTCTCACTGATGTTTAAAGACTCCAGCCTGGAGCACAAGGTAGAGCTGGGTCTGCACAGCGGCTCTTTTTCTGAAGTCAATTGTCATAAATGTTCGTGGGGCCAGAGAGAGGGCCAGGGGCTGCGGTGTCGGTCGGTGTGTCTGTGGTTTGTCTGTCTGGTTTGGTTTGGTGCTGTCTTTTCTTTTTCTGTTTGAAATTCATGAGTAGACTGAAGGCCATGAAAGGAGTTGCTATTTAGATAAAGAAGGAAAAGATAAGGGGAGGAACAAGGAGCCCTCACCCCCAGGAGCCTCCCAGGCCTGCCTTTCACTTTGACGTCATTAGCCCAAGTGACGTTGGCACTCACTTGCCTCTGCTTTTAGGTTAATTCTCATGAGTAGCAACCACTGTGACATAATACATGAAGGCACCGAATCACTTCAGGCAAGCACCGCTGTCTTTCTTAGACTGTAGGGGACATGCATTCTCCCAGTTGTCTGCTGGTCCCCTGATGTAGACATAATAGAAGGAAGATGAGCTGTGGATTCAGAGTTGGGTTTGAATGCCACCTCTGCTACTTCTTTGTTCTGTGGCCTTTGAAAAGTGGGGTAGCCTCTCTGGGCATGAGCTGTACAGTGAGATAATGAACGTGCCTCCCTCACAGGTTAGTATGGAAGGTTCCAAGCAATGCCTTGAGTAGGTGAAGTGTCCAAAAATGGCACCATCACCACATTGATGGTGACTTCCTCTGATGCCCTTTTCTCTCCCAGCTCTAAACTGTAAAGAGCTGTGGGGAGGTGGGTATGGTCCCTGCTGAACTGGGCTGCTCCTTGCCCTGACGGAAGCTGGCAGACCTTCCTTGACTGAGCACAGGAGGTCTGGTGCTGTAGGAGCCTCTGGCAAGAACAGCAAGGAATTTGCAAGCAAACTTCAGGATTTTGATGTGACCCTCTGCAAGCTCCAGGGAGCAATCTTTGGTGAGTTTGCCCAGTTTCCTGGGTGACTCTGCATTCCTCAATGTGAGGAATGCACACTTCCGTGACCATGCACCATTCCCAGTGAGTGTCTGACAACCACCCAAGGCTGCAAACTCCAAAATTAATATCTTCACCTGCCGTTCGCAATGTGAAATGTATTGTGTCTGTATGCCAACAAAACCAAAGGAGAGGGAACATTCTGCTTTACTCTACCTCCCCTCTGCCAAATGCCAGGTAGGCTTTTCTGATTTGTAATATAATTGGGGGCTTAAGGTCCAAATTAACTGCATTTTCTTCCCTGGTTGCTGCATTGAAGGAGCTAGGAAGAGCAGGGTGGTCTTGCGAAGAATCTTCTCAATTAGCCCATGTAAATGCCGGTGTCCAGAGCTGCACCAAACCCTTGTATTCATTCTTGGTAAAGATGTACTTGATTCACTAATGACCTGACCTCTGCAAACATAATTTCTATTTCTAATTTTTTTATTAAATAGCGTCCACATCTCATCTGCAGGGACCTAGTGCTGGAGCAGGAATGGACCTGGGAGGCACAGGGTGTCTGAGGGTGACTTCTGTGACAGGGGAGGTTCTTCCAGGAGAGGCAAAGGGCAGGAATGCCCCACCACAGTCCAGCCTTGTGCCATTTAGCGTGTGGTCTTCATTGCATGGGGTCCCCGGGGTAAGGGCAATGGGGCACATCAGAAAATGTTCATCCCCCATCTGACAGAGACACCCCTCACTGACGCTTGCTCGGGGACCCTCTCTAGGGGCTGCATTACGGCTGAGAGGGGATATATATTAAGTAACAATCATTGGGTGTTTCCCAAATGCCATATACTCGTCTAAGCTGTTTGCACAAATAGACCAACAATGAAGAGCATGGATTAAATGTTACTATGAGCCTCATTTTCTACTTGATGAAATAGAGAGACAGGGAAATGACCAAGAAATGCCCAAACTCGAACTGTCAGTACAGGGGCTGTGACCTAAGGCCACAGTGACCCTCAAAACCAGTATCTTGTCTCTCCCTGGAGCCCGGGGACTTGCCCTCCCAGGCCCTTGTATAAGAAGACAGTCCTGTGTTATCTTCATCCTCTCCTCTTAGAACCTTGGATGGGGTGCGAGGCCTGGAGCAGGGGTTGGAGGGCGAGATTGAATAGGAAAGGGTCCTAGGGCCTTAACAAAACAGAGCAGGCCTTTCAAATCCACCGGATTCGGTGCCTCGTGTTTATATATGTCAGTTTACTGCATCCTCAGAAAAACATTACTATCCCACTTACAAAAGGGAAAACGAACCTCTCAGAGATCAAGTAGAGGTCACCGACCTCAGAACCCCACTGCCATACTTAATGGGCTCTGAGCTGCCACCACCCCGGAGCTGTCCCATCTACTACACAGCACGGAGAAAGATAAATTGCCCAGCATGGGGAGTTGGGTGATTTATCCCCTGCCCCTCCCACCCACAGTAAACTGGGCTTATACCTCCAGGGTAAGGATGGACAGGAAAAAAACCTACCCAGCAGACAAGGAAAGTGCGGAAACCCACATTCCTATACCCTAGAATTGGTTAGATGGGAAAAAAAGAGCTCTCCAAGAAGTTAAAATCCAAAAGGCAATCTGCATAGGTTTGCTGCCTGAGTTCACACTCTGAATGTGGTCTTAAAAAGCACCTCAGGCAGAGAATGTATATATAAAGCAGTCCCTGGTTGACACTGCCCCCTGCTGACCAGCGGGAGCAATCGCAGACCTCCCTGGCAGAACTCAGAGATTTTAAGACTCCATTGATGACAGTCAGACCCAAAATGTGAAGGCGGGTTAAGTATCTTAGAGTTGGTGAAATGTAAACAGTATTTGTGACACCAAAACCTTTAACCACTGCTCTATCCTGCTTTTGGGGAGCAACTTTGCACCATAACAGCGTTTTCTGAAAGGAAAAGTGGAAATGGCAATGACCTCACCCCGGGGAGGTTTGTGGGGAACAAAAGGCTTGACTGTTTCAACAATAAAAGGTGTGTAACTAAGGGATATATAACTTTATTGTCTCCACAGTAAAAGGATATGTAACTAATAAAACTCTCCAGCTTTATTAGTGAGCTGTCATTCAGACCTTTCCTGACCACGTGCAACTGGCACACCTACCGGCAGCGTGTGCAGCAGGCCTTTCGTGTCCCCCCGTGCTGCTTGAACACTTGTTGGGTGAATGGGGGGACTGACATCAGGGAGACTATTCGAGGAGACTGCTTCGCCCTGCAGCTCGTCTCAGGGTATCATTTTAGAGAACTCTAAGCCAAAGCACACAGGTCAGTTTTGAGCTGATTCTAAGAAGCAGTGCTTCAGGAGAGAAGGGTATAAAGTTCCACATATTCCCTGCCGTGTCATTTCAAAGTCACACACTCACACATACATACATATATACACATGCACGCTACACATAGACATGCATACACATACACACATACGCACATGTACACATACATAAACCTATATGAATACACATTCCTACACTTATACACACATACACATATACATATTCATACATATATATACATGCACACATGTACACATACATACACTAATGCACACACCTACATATGTATACATTCATACACATGCATTCATACATACACACATATATCTATCTACACATGCACATACACACACACACACACACACACACACACACACACACACATACACACAGAGACATCTTTTGAGTTAAGCTTCAGAAAAGTGCACTCACAACTCGGGCAGCTTAGCCACATCTGGGCAGCACATTTCCCCACCTCTGTTCCCCAGGTCCCGCATCTGTGAGCTGGGAGGGTTGAACTTCCCATCTTTCAGCCATCAGTGCTGTGAGCCTGTGAATTCCCTGTGACCACAGTGACCACATGTTGTGGTCTGCCTGAGACGGTCCTGGTTTACATCTATTTTCTCAATACAACTTTCAGCAGCACCACCTTTCAGGCTCACAAATCACCCAGTGTGGGTGACAACTCGTGTGACCCAGGTCTCGGGCCTCAGTCAGGTCAGAATTAGTGGTTCTCACCATCTTCATGTCCCAGCAACCACACGAGGACTTTCTGGGTAGACCCTTGGATGAGGGAGGGGACCTAATCCAATCACCAAAGGTCCCCTCTAGGGCCCCCCAGATTTTCCAGAAGGATCCACGGCCCTCCTTCAGCATCAGGCTGAATATTTCCTAAGGGAGCTTACAGTTCTCAGGGGCAAACAAAAATTAGAACTATGGTGAAGAGATGTAGGAAACAAGACATATTTTTCAAATATTGTCAATCATATTGGACTTTTTCTTTTATTATATATGACTTATTTCTTAGTAAAAAAAATACATTTTCATTACTGAAAGCTTATACCAAACATATAAGGCAAAATGATGAAAATAATATGTTGTGATCCTACAACCCAGGATAACTACCCACTGTTAGCATTCTGGCATCTGCATGCTGGTCTTTCATGAGTGTGGTTCTGTGTACTTACCTTTGCTATTGGTTTTACTAAGTGGGGCCATCTTATACATATGCTTTGTACCATAGTGTTAAACATTCTTTGCTTGAGCTTTTCCCCACATTACTAGGTTACAAGGAAATTACTTTGTAACTGCACACTATTCCATTCCATGTTTTAACCATTTTGGGCTTTTTTCCCCTCAATTTTTCACTATTATAATTTATAAACTACATGGTGATGGCCATTGTCATATTGAAATCATACATCCATGCTTAATTGCTTTCTTAGGATAAATTCCTAAAAATGAGAGCAAGAGAATGCACATTTCTAAATATTCTATGTGCATTCTGAAATTGCCCGCCAAAATGTGCCTGTTCTTTTTAAAAATCACCAACTTGATAAGAGACAAGCAGCATCTTCCTGTCATGTTTTAAAATTATTATTGAGGTTGATGTCTTTCTGTATATGTTTTTTTAAATATAGTTTTTAAATATGTTTTTATTGATTTCAGAGAGAGGGAGGGAGAGAGATAGAAGCATCAACGGTGACAAAGAATCATCAATTGACTGCCTCTGTACCCGCCCTACTGGGGATTGAGCCTGCAACCCAGGCATGTGCCC